TCTCATTAATGCTTTGGCTAAAACTCACTACATTGTTGAGGGATCACTCGATTAAAATATGGTAACTTCATACTGAATGCTCATTTATGCATAGACCATTCTATCCGATTAATGATAGGATGTCTGTATTATGCCATAAGTTAAGAAAAGTAAGTTCTTATGTGAAGTCCCGTTTTCCTTAATTATCTAATGGTCTCAGAAACCAGATATTCTTTAATGTCAAAATATTAACTTGCCTTATTCGGATCACAAGCAGCATTGATTCGATTAAGCTTCCGTCCTTGAATACTGGATATTTTTTAAGCTGATCATACTGACGTGGGATAAATCTTAAGGATATATATTGGATTCATCCCAGCGTCTCACCAAAAATTAAAATTTCCCCGTCCTTACACCAATGCAAAAGTAATTTAGGTTCTAAGATGTATAGAAAGCTAGTAGAATTATACGAGGCGGGTTGAGATAGCCTAGTTACTATATGCAAATGCCGAAGCATTTGTATTTATTAAATCGTTGTTTTTCTTTTCACCAGGTTTTATTTTTTGAGGTACCATCCGCTCAAAATGCCACCCTACATGCAAAATCCTCACCACTTCCTCTTCCTGACATCATTGGTAACAGTAAATCATTTTCAAGCACGCAGAGAGCGGATGCAATGGCTGTATGAGCCACCACCTAAGTCCCACGTGCATCCCAGACTTGCACTTTACTGTTGATATATGCGGTGTCATCGCGAATGAAATTTAATATTGTAAGGAAACTTTTTCTATTAAAATCGAGCACCATATACTTTCAAGTTTTATGTTTTCGATTTGTGGAACATTACAATTGATCGACCTTGTTTTCGCAACTCGGTCATATTGGTAGGAAGACTTAAAGGAGCGCACCTAGTCCGGAGTCCATTGTATGTATTATCATTTCCAGAGTAGGACCGTGGACGTGGTACATTTCCAGAGGTTTCGCCGGCATCGTCAGTGAGTCTCGCCATTCGTAGCACCATATTAAAACTCGTCTAAGAGACAAGTGAAGTCCATCCTTTGACCAAACGTGTACTAAACAGCTATGATATCTCCCCTTCTGCCCTGACCTATTTATCTTTCCTATATCCTATCATGCATTCCCTGTCAAAATTTTTACCGTGCTTATTTTTATCGTAGTGTGGTGTGCTCCTTCGAGCGGCATTTATGAAAACCCTTCATACTCCACACTATCGTTATCACCCCCTTCACCCTTGGGCTGGAAATGTTGACCAATCTGTAATATTGTTAAGTAGTCCTTCCCTCAGTCCTATCAAAGTCTCTAACTTGCCACGTCGAATCTATATGCTATCTTCGTGGTACATGTGTTTCACTCGACCCCTGCCCCCCATCTGTGCTATTTGAGGCGTAATTCGTCCATCCCTTGCACCTGGGCGATTAATTAGAGGCTAAAGTCTCGTGGTCATGCCTTTGCTACATGGACCACGTCGCCTGTAAGACCTCTCAGCCAACTAGCTCCAATCGCCGCTTCGTCTATCCCGTCTCTATTCCTAATACCAAATATATGACTTGCCATGCCCTAGTTGCTTGTGTGCCAACCTACAAATGTTGTGGTACTGTTGGCTTTGTTTAGGTTCAATTTTGAACCACAACGTTTGTGGGTTGGGACATATGAGAATAGGGCATAGCGAGTCATAGACTTGGTATTATAGATAGAAAGAGGATATAAACAGTGGAAGCTAGATCTAGTTGGCTAACAATAGTCGTGATTCAA